AAGCTCATCGGTCTGAAAAAGCGAGGTGTGCTCTGATTGGCCAGCAATCCAGTGCGTTGTGATTGGCCGAACACCTCAAGCGTGTGACGGAAATGTTACACCCCTTACCATAGGGCGTGTTAGAACGAGCCGTTTTAGGTAGGCGTGGTTGACTCTTAACTTTTATAAAGAATATCTCTTTGGATTTGAGACTTTAGTCTTTGCAACTTTACAGATCTTCTTTATGCACCAAGAGCTTGTAACACTCCAAAGAGAAAGGAAAAATTGAAATCGCATCATATGACCCCTTTAAATCTAGTATATTCAAATATAGCACATTAAAGGAAAAAAAACTGTTATTTTTTCATCATCTAGCTAATGTTGCTGGTATTTTTTTTTTGTGGAACACAGAGTGAAGCTATTGTTTGACTTCAGAAGTGGTCACTATGAACATGTTATAAGGCGAAGATCAAAAGTATGTGAACATTTAAAAAAAAAAAATTTTTTTTTGAGTGTGTTCTACAAAACAAAAACAGCATGTGTTTGTCCATATGTGTTGTGACATAAACATACTGTAACAAAGGCTCCTCAGGGAGTCGTGCTTACAATCTTCATAACTATCATAAATCAAAACTGTGTTTCCAAGTATTTGTCAGTGCCATGAGCTGAACATCCTGTTCACGTTTTCTCAAAAATGTATACACAGATATGATTTATAAAACACAAAAAACATACATGTTGATTCTGCTTCACATTTTCCCGCGAACATGAGGCCGCACCGATCATTGCTCTGAATTATGGGACACATCCTGCAGCCCAGACGAGAGTATCCTGGTGTCAACCACCACCATCCTGTATTTTGTCAAACAAAATCTGCTCGTTCCTCTCTGATTGCATACTTATGTTCCCTCTTCACTAAAAAAAAAAAAGCCTGAAACGATGCAAAAGTTTGTGCAACATCTTCCAGCATTCCAAACAGTGTCCTTGGACTCACCCAAAACCCTTCCCCTTAAAAATAAATGAAGAGAGGAGGAGGCATGGAAAGAATCTCTGCTTAACTAAGTGATGACAAAAATATGTGATAATTAGGCCTGTCCCGCAGTAAATCCACCATAAGGCATGCTGAGTTCATCGTCTGGCCTTCTCACGTCCACTTTGAGCTCCCTAAACAATACAAATGTAGGAATAAAGACTTTTTGCTTTGTTTGTTTATGCGTGTGGGAGTGAAAGAGAGAGTTTGAGGGAAATAGTGCAGACTTGGTTAATTATGCTAGTGTGAAAAGTAGCAGTCAGATGCCTGTAAGCAACACTGCCATGCAAGGTCGACCTTAATTCATCGCAGTGTGTGAGAGTGGTATTCTCTGCGGCCGGCCACAGGCATTACTCATAACGCTTTGCTGGGGGAGCCCTTCCCACAATGTGAACAATAATGCCTCTGCGGTGTTTTCCAATTGATTTCCACTCAAAACAGCAGAAGACATTCCCAACTTGTCATCACAGGCTTGCCACAACTCTCATATATTCTTCTTTTATGCCCTAGAATTTATTTGCCGAAAATACAGAGTTTGTCATGGTGCCTTCCACTGTAAATTGATTTATTATTATGTATAACATTGTTTTTTATTAGTCTAAAATCCATGGTTTCCACCAAAACAGCAGCACAGATGTGTGGGTTATTAGTCAAGATTACTGGTGCTTCATGTATTAAAACTACTAAAAGAGAAACTACATGTTTTCTTCCTGTAAAGTGTACCGTTTCTCTCTCTGTTTCCTGATTTTTTTATTTTGTTCTGCCTCTTTAGACTATAAGGTCTCAGCATAGCATGCATTCCATTGAGCACATTGTCACTTGCACAAAGCAATTTCTGTAATATATATATATATATTTTTACCTCTATTGCTGCTATTTAACTATCTGTACAACCTGTTTGCACATTCTTCTCTTGTACATTCCTGCTTATCTTAATATCTATTAAGTCTACAGTACACTGTCCTGCGCATTTTATTTTATTCTTTTTTTTTTTCTTTTTTTTTTCTTGTGTTTGTATTCTTTAATAATTGCACTGTCCATGGAGCGGACCTGACTTACATTTCACTGCTGGTCATATATTCTCTATATAACCATGTATGTGACAAATAAAAATCTTGAATCTTGAATCTTGAATCCAGGTTGTCAGTATGTCTTCTGCCACCTTTGTGCTGATGTTTAGAAAGACTACTGATGTAAGGTGACATGCGTAAACATATCCATATGTCTTAAAGATATAGCATCATGTGTTTCTTTATGATTATGATTGTGTGAGCACTCTCCTTTACTTTTATAGTTTAAACTGTCACATTTTTTTTTCAGTACTACAAAAGCTGACTAAATTGATTGAGTAAATAAACAAGTAAAATAGGAGGATGTGTTTTGCTCCATCTTATTTTAGATTTTATGGGAAAAAATGACAAGAAATCTGGGCCATCACATAATACATTACAAGTTCAAAAGTCACGAACCATAAACAAATAAATATGTAACACTACATGGCATGCAAAAAGTTATCTTTAAAGGGGTCATATGATGTTGCTAAAAATAACAGTATTTTGTGTATTTGGTGTAATGAAATGTGTTTATGCAGTTTAAGGTTAAAAAAACATTATTTTCCACATACTGTACATTATTGTTTCTCCTCTATGCCCCGCCTTTCTGAAAAGCGTCGATTTTTACAAAGCTCATCGTTCTGAAAAGCGAGGTGTGCTGTGATTGGCCAGCTATCCAGTGCGTTGTG